ATCCAAGCCGTGAGCAGCCAGCTTCTCCAGGAGAATGCTGTGGGAGACTGTGTCAAAGGCCTTACTAAAGTCCAAGTAGACAACATCCACAGCCTTCCCCTCATCCACTAAGCGAGTCACCTTGTCATAGAAGGAGACCAGGTTAGTGAAGCAGGGCCTCCTTGAAGTTAAACAACCTTTTCTTTTTAAAATTTGGAGTATTACCATGCTGGAGAGTAACTCTTAGTTTAACAGAATTTTTAATACTGTTACCTTTCCGAAGATTGACAGCTGTAATAGTACTATATTCTCTTGTTTTCCAGCTTATTTAAACACTATAAGCTATATGAATACCTCTTCCACAGTCCTAGAGAAGAACTTGTGATAAGTAATGAGGTAAGTCACTTATATAGATGGAACTCATTATGCAGAGTTATTTAATGAATGCACTGTGGCATATGTTTTATATTGCTCAAAGCAATTTCATGTCAACATTACTGCTTTACTAACGTAAATGGCTGATTAAAGAATACAAGTTAGATGTTTTGATCCTCATATTCAAAATTAATTTTGGATTTCAAAAAAGTGTAAATGCATTGCTTGGTTAAGATGTTAGTTGTATTAAATCAGGAATACTTTTGTGCATGTATTTATAAGTTGACGCATGTAATTTGAATTAGCAATGCATAAGTCTGACTCTATTTTAAAATCAGCAATCAAAATCAGAAAATGTTTTATACCAAGCCTAGTCTGACCACAGTCCTAATATTTAGGTATGCATGTGTTTGTACAGAGTTTTTTTTCTACTGTAGCCACCAATAGTTAATTATATGACCATAAAGAAACAAGCTAGCTAGAAATTTAGCATTTTGAAAGCATTCAGTTAATAATAGTGAATTGACTTGACTGTAAACTTTGTCATGCATTCTAACTTATATGTGAAAAAATACATAGAAAAATGCATTGATGCAGGATGTGGCCTTTAATCAAATGGACAGATCCAATTCATCAAATAAACTTTCCTTTAGCCTGACTGTGCATTTTGAGGACATATGTTACAATACAGTGAAAAGGATTTACATTTATAATTTATATTAGGAGACAACTGGTTGCTCAGAGAGGCACGGTAGTCGAATTTTTTTGATGGCACTTATATTTTAGCTTATCAGTACACAGTGAAGTTAAAGTTAATGCAGTGGAAAATTTTCTTTACACTTTAAGCTAGTGGTTTGACTCTGTAAATGATGTGGGATAATTTCTTTCCGTGTCGCTTTTAAATAGCCATATCATAAAAAAGAAGGACTTTCTTGACGTGGATGCAAATATTTGGAAATTATTCTCATTGTTTGTAAGGTGGGTTAAAATTCCAACTACAATGAAATCAGTGACAAAACTGCCATTACATAAGTGGAGCAGGACTTCAGCGTTGCTGTGTTAGGGCCGTTGTTTTATAATAGCTAATCAGATCAATGGCTGGTTAGCACTTTCTAATTGATAAAATTATTTTTAATGAGGCTTTGATTAAGTAATTTCTTGTGTAAATTTGTGTAATGTATCTTGTCAGTTGTAGACTAGCTTAAAAGAAATGTCTTTGTGTTTTCTTAAAACACATTTCTGGATGGCTGAGGTCAGTGTACACCGTTCCAGCTCGGAAGAGTGGTTGCTCCGCACAGTCTGTCTGCTGGGGAGTACCACCTCTGATGAAGGTGCCACCTCCACTAGGGAATGGCAGAAATGTGTTTCTGTGAATTACTTTGGTGATGATCCATCAAAGGAACAAGTGCAATCTACGATTATAACTACCACAAAAACCTTCGTGACAATTTTTAGCCATAACTCTTTGACGGCCATTTCTTACCTATGCACCAGTTCAGTTTAATCCATCTGTTTTGTATTCTGAGTTCCATGGCAGAGAGCCTTTAATTTGTCCAGCCACGCTGCAATGCCCACGAAAATCGATACTTATATTCCTGTAGAGTTTATTTTGATAGGGTGATACATTGTTCTTCAATAAGTAACAGTTTAAGGCATTGAAGCTACACATACAAATTTATGGCATTATTTGCACTCACTTTATGTGTTAACATGCGATGAGAGGTGAACCCGGCACAGACTTCAAGTTCTTTTGCTACAACTTTGTTATATTTAGAAATGCTTATCCATAAAGGAGAGCATTACCTTGTATGTTTGCAGTCCCTTAGATGAACAGCTCAAACCCTGACAAGTTAGTGGGGCTGATGTGGTTTGGTGTGTATGGCTGTGGCAGGAGCTCGCCTGGAGTCGTGTGCTCCGCAGTGCCTTTGCTCAGGGAACAGAAGGGGGCAGGACACTGACTGGGAAATCTGCGTGCTGAAAGTAGACGATAAATCTGTGCTGAAGGGCTGACTGCTGTCTTATCAATGTCTTACCAAAAAAAAAAAAAGCCCATGTAGGCACACCATGCCCCACAGCTGGATGTGATCATTACCCTAAGCTGAGCGCTGCTCATGTCAAAAAGTTTTCTTTTAGCTCCAGCAATAAAAGTCTGTTCTTTTGGAATGGGGGACTGTAAATCGTAATGGCCAGATTTGCCCAAATAACAAGAACCATGGTGTTCCAAGAGCTTAATTACAGTATTATCTCCTTTTGCAAATGAAAGCTTTGAGACAAGTCAGTGAAATGACTTGCTTCAACTGAAATTATTTGCTTCGACTGAAATGGCTTGCGTTAGCTCAGTGACTGAATTTGTGCTCCACATGTGCCGAAAGTATTACCTACTGAATAAAAGTCCAATAGCCTAATGAGAAGACCTGCTTCTTTAAGAGAGATGCAGCTACAACAAATAAAAGCAGTACTTAGTGTTGTAATGGATATCCTTTTAGAGAAACCGCAGTATGTGTTTTCCAGAGAAATCTTATAGCGATGGATTGTAAACTCATTGGATTTTATTTTTTCTCTAGCACAGGCAATTATACAGTGCTCTCAATCAGGTTTCCTTTTTGATCTTTCACTGCAGTTATTTCCAAATGACCCTGTCATTTCCTGTGTAGAATAAAATCAGACAAGAAAAGGGAAATGACTCAAAACTCAGTTAGATTATGCATACAATATCTGTGGCCATGCCACTTAACAAAATTTAAGTTACTTAAATGTGGCACGTAATTAGTGGAGCTTCACAGCCTGATTAATATTCTACATTTGATGCAGCTAGCATAATAGAACCACCTTTGTAAAATGTGGACAGTATTTAAGTCTTAAAAAAAAGAAAGTAACAAATGCCTGGCTAATTTAAATATATTTTTGCGTTGGCTAAAGCCTTTAAACCAAACTGCCTGAGGTGATCATATTGCCTAGGAAAAAAAAAAAAAAGGTTAAAACTGAAAGACATGAATGCTTGGTTAGATGATAAAACACACATCATACATCTAACCTAATTTGACAGTATTTAAAATTTAAAACTTGCCTTTCCAGCTATCAAATCCCTTACTTCTCCTTCATTCCAGATCTACAAAGACCTATATATTATGTATGCATGAATACCTGTTAGAAAACATGACGGTACAAAGCACTACTGAGAAGTGTTAAGATTGCCGAGTAAATTTGTTGGGTTTTTTCTGTTACTATTACAAGCAGTTCCCCACATTTAGAATGATTACAGAAGAAGCAGTGCTTTAGCTGTTCTGTGGCTATGATCCAAAATAAAATGCATGTAGTGCTAGCATACCAGAGTTCTTCAGGAATATTGTTGTTAAAGATACTGCCTTTTCCTTTTGCCCTTTCTGGAGTTTTTACTCTCTAGCTGTGATTTAGTACACCTATATTAGCCTGCAATTTCAAAGAAAGCAAAAGGAGTACAGGCTAAATCTTGATGTGCAGAGATTCAATGGAGCAATTCCTATTAACACATGTTGGATCTTATAACAAAGGTTTAAATTGTTAATACATGAATTGTGTAGAAGTTTTTATTCTTTTCTATTTCTATGTTCAGTTAATTTATTTTGCTTTGATAGGATGATGTATTACAGCACATCTTGTATTTTTTTTCTCACATTTACAAATTGTACCTTATACTGCAGTTCATGTTTTTGCTGCTCTCTGTTGTGTATTTTTGGATGGAATGAGGCTAAGGTCTTCTGGGATTATGTCTGCTTTGAAACATTTCCTAATAAAAATAATGTGGTTGGTAAATCTAGTTTTATTCCTAGTTGCTTTAGCCAGCCTGATGGAGTAATCTGCTATTTTATGGCCCAGATGACTAGCTAAGTTTGACTTCTTGAAATAGTAGTGTACAATGTAATTTTCTTTAGAGATGTCATAGTGGGTCAGGTTGCAATAAAAATATCGAAGATTAAGTTTAATGGCAGTGCAGATTCAGTATTATAGCAGTCACTAGATATCATCCTCTGTACTTAGAGTTCCAAAACAGTTTCCATTAATGCCTTCTTTCCATGTACTCCTTACTTGCTGAAACATTAAGCTTTCGGACTATGTCTGGTCTTTATCCAATTGTGGGTTGGGTTTTTTTCGAAAGTTTGAACAAAATCCCTTCTGTGTTTGAATTTAAGGGGGTGGATAGGAAGAATATACTATTTGAAAGCTAATAAAGCTTTTTTTCTGATGGCAAAAGACCTGAAGTCTGGACTTGACTTTGATAGGTAATCCTCATTAGCTGTTGGATATTTAGATTGGTTAATCAATCATTGTTTAAACAAATTTGCTCGATGATTTCTTGAGAACTGCATTTTAAAGATCTATGAAAGCAGAACATTTCCATAAGCATATCAGTTCACACTAGAGAGACTCATTCCCCAGCTAATGGAGTGCATGCTTTTCAAAGCTTGGAGGTTTCAGATATTTGTAATGCTTAAAAACCACTGAGTTGTCTTCTGTAGCTTTGTTTTGTAAATATCACCATGGCAAAGACATCAAAACTGCTTTGAAGGAAATAAGAGCATAGGACTGGAAGGGACCTCTTCAATTGTCAGCTCTAGTGCTACTGTCTCATAGGAAAACATATATAATCCTCTCCAGAAACTTGTCAAACTCCGGCTTAAAAAATTAACTTTTTTTTGTCTTTCCTCTTCCAGTTAGAAAGCTGCCCTGGTGCCTGCTTTCTGTAATGATCATAAAACTTCTAATTTCCAGTCTAAGTGTATTCATGACAAGCTTACGTGCATTTGTCCTTGTGCCAATTTGTGCCAGTATTGACCTTTAGTTCTTGTTCCATCCCCAGTGTTTATTTTTCTAGTGTATAAAGAGAGAGCAATCTTATTGTCAGCCTTCATTTAACTAAACGAGAAAAGCCAGCCTTCTCTAATCTTTGCTTTTAAGGTAGGCTTTTGATACATGCGTTCTTACATACGCACCAGCCTCTAGTCATCCTGTTGGCCTTTTTCTATAATTGTTCCACTTTAAAT